GGTGCGGGAAAGGGGAGTACCTCGGAGGAGAGATCGAGGCCGGTACGGGCGGCTGGCGGTAGGAATTTGAGAGCTCCGGTGGTGGTCGCCGCCGGCGGCGGCGGATGGGTTGGGGGATTAGAGGGCTGACTAGCCTTCTCCGTCCGCCTGCGTGACGCACTCACGCCCGATCGGTCTGAAAATAAAGCACGCGACCTGGTCCAAATGAGAAAAAATCCAGCCGAGGTGAAGAGAGAGATAAAAAAAAAGGCCGATGCTACAAATCTACCGGCTGATAACAGCCAGATTTAAGCCGCCTCGTCCGCCGTAGGATCCTGGAAGTCGGACTCTACTGTATATTCACTAGGTGGTTGAGCCGCTTGTGCACCTGTTTCACAACATCACATGGGTTTTAGGCCCCACAAAAGCTTGTTAAAGGCGTGTTTGGTTTCAGTTTGCAACAGTAGCTGCATTGCATGTCTATCTTTAGCCAGTCTGATTTTTGAAATGCAGCAGATGCAACATGTTTGATTGCCTGCATCGCATGGAGGGACACTTATCCTCTGTTGTTTTGTTATCCTTTTTGTGCTTAAGGTGTGAGCAGATGTAGGGGCGGAGCCAGCTCATTAGCATTGGGTTCAAATGAACCCAATGAAATTTGGCATGTCCCTTATAGATTTACACTAGCTTAAGACTAAGCAAAGAACTGAACCCACTATTTAGTATAGTTGAACCCAATGGTTGATAATCCTGGCTACGCCCCTAAGCAGATGCAAACTTCAGTTGTTTGGTTGCAAACAGCGTTTGTGTTCTGCTCACCCCATTTAAATATGATGGCCTTACCACCACATGATCAGCACAACAGCACAAACAAAGCAGGATCAAACAAAGCAATCAAAGAAATGACAACAAACTACTTAGATTAACAGCAGGGGCATTCTTCTTCCCTGCTCCACGCCAGGGTGCTGCTCCTGGCCAAAATATTAACAAGTTCTCAGCACAAGTACCATAAGTCTAGCCACACATCATAAAAGTTCAACACTAACACATTACTTAACTACATAGCATGCTCAATGTCACCAACGCAGTTGTGCCTGCTGCAACGAAACTTGCACATGTCCGAGGAGTCATGGTTGTAGATCTGAACCTTCAGTTCGAGTCCTGAGATGTGCATAACGACGAGGTCGACAGGGACGATTCGGTGACGGCGACAGAAGTAGTTCCAGCCCCGGCTAAGCACCATGTGCCCCTCGAAGTTCTGGACCTATCGACACAGAGATGGGTGACGGGCGAAAAGTGAAGGAAATGATAGAGATGATAGATACGAATGATATGTAGAAGACAGATAATGACCAGATAACCTATCGACACAAAGCACGAAAGTAAACTACCGAGTGTAATGCAGTAAAGTAGATTGAACTAGTGGTGCTCGATAGCGACAATGAGATTTGGTAGACCAGTTCGCCCTTCTGCCAAAGGACTACGTCTGGTTGGAGGGGTTGTGATTTAACACAGAAGATAAACTCTCTTCATCCTATTCTCCTTCAACTCGGAGCTGATCAAACTCTAGTTGATTTCACTCGTGGTATATACTTGTCGGCGATCTCCAAACCTTCGGACGAACTTCGCAAACCACAATGACTCTTCATTGTTGAAGATCTAGCTCGGTGAAGACAACAACTCTTCAACACTCGAGCCGAAACCTATTCGTCTAGAGAGTGCGTAACTCTCAGGAGTAATAGGTACAAGAACTCTAACTCAAACTATTGTGATGCTCAACCACTGTCTAAGTTTGGACTCTTGATTTCTTTTCCCTCGGTGGATCTTAAACTCAAATCACTCGGAGAGAGGATGCTCAGTCAATCTTCTCAGAATCTTAAGCGGAGCAGCCAACGGGCAACATTGGAGTGGGGTGGCTATTTATAGCCGCAGCCTTTCCTGAAGGGAAAAGACCAAATTGGACATGTGCAGCAGCCAATGGTCGAACAACACGAGTCCAATAGTCTGATTTTGAGCACAACGG